GAAAGAAGGGAGAAATTATAGCAGTATAATAATTATTGCCGGATTTATTTTCAGCATATCCCTTTCTTTATGTCAAACCTTTTTTCGTTGTTCCTATGCAAATTGACTGTCTTTTTGGGCTTATACAGGTAGCGGAGAGCAGCTACAAAATGGAAGTCTGATGGCAAGTAGTATCTTATTGATTATTTCAAACAAAACATTTGATTCTTTCCTTGTTTTTTTATATAATTATTGTTTTTCTATTTTATTTTAAGCCGGAGAGGATTGTTGATGACCTGACGGCTCATGGACCTCTTTTTCGGGCTTCAAAAGCCCAGCTTTTCGCAATGCGGACTCGGAGGGCCCCATATATTTTGTACTACTTATTGATTGGTGATAAGGAATAAAGATGGTATTAGAAAGTTGGAATATGAATAAACAAACTCCCCATCTTCTTGCTTTCGACTTCTTTGTTTGATTCTTCGTCCCTATGCATTCGCTTATCTACCTTTTTTATTAATCCAAAAACTCTTTGTTGGCAATGTTTCGTATAATTGAACCGTTTCGCAACATAGACTAAATTGCCCGAGAGGTTATGCTAAATAGTTTGAAATTTAAAAAGGATAGACCTAATTAAACTGAAATGTATGTGTCGTATAAGGTAATGTTCAAATAGTATCATCTCACTCTTTGAATTTAAGTAGTTTCTACCTGAAAAGATGCCCAAATGAGTTGCTTATTAATAAACTTTTTGTGTGATAGGGAATAATGTACTAAACTACTACTATATATATATATATATATATAGAATAATTCGCCGTCAAAAATGAAAAATCAGCCACTAAATTACAAATGCACGTGAAAAAGGGCAAGCACGTAGATCGGAGAAAACTGGTGGATACGGAGTTAAAGAGTGCCCACCACTCCGAAAGGACTTATTTTTGAAAGATGGGTTGAAATGGAAGTGCATGCGGACCGCCTGGTGGGACTCGCTCCAGAGAGATGAATAGCTGGGCGAATGGCAAATGCCGTGTTGCATTCCTCAGATTTCGAAGGTGCCACCCTCATCCGTGTTAACTGCCCGTGGATATTGGATGTTGACACAAGACTGCTCAAAATCCACCCTTGGAATGGGACCCCAAAGTAAACGAGAAAAGGAAAACTCCCATTATTTTCTCATTCTTTCAATTCATTTCTGTGATTGATGACTGCTTTGTTCCATCAAACCCCCAATTTCATCATTACTATACTAGTTCCAATGCTGGAAAACCCAGAACTTTGCTTCTTGGAAAATAACCCATAAAAAAAAAAAATTAAAACCTTTACTCAAAACAAAGAGGAAACGAACCCTCTAGTCGATTATGGAGATCAAGGTACTAATTAACGTGAAAAGTAGATGGAGTTCACTCGTTATATCAATATCATTACACACAAAGCAAGGTGAGATGAATGTAATCATTTCAGCAATCTACACACATATACGTGTTCATCTAGACAACTCATGCAAGGGTCCCATTCTTTAAAGATTTATTTTGTTGGACATGTTTGTTCATATTATATAGCATATGACAATTCATGAAACAAAGCTATCAAAGGCTATCATATAACATGAAATATGTGGTCGGTTTTCCTAAAACCAATTCTGGGTGGGGCGTTTGTCTAGCGTTGAGACACAAATTTTATACTCCAATAGAAATCAATAACATCGTCTGCAAGTTATGATTGGCATATTTGCCCTGTAGTTTTACCAGGTAAGGCCGTCTCACACCTTCTTGATCCCTCTTTTCTTTTTCTTCCTAATTCCTTACGTGAATTATGTTAGTGACGTTTTTATCATTAGTGCAAACATCAAGTAGGTTGCGTTCAAGAAAAGCTTGGGCCCTATATTTAGGCTGGGCTCAACATACGCTGCTTTCCTTTATCTCACCTTGTCTAAAGAGCTTCATAGTTACAGGTATTTTTTTTTTTTTGGAATCATATTAATGAAGGATATGGTGAGGGCATTATCTATACCATTAAAGCTGGTTCAAGTTTCCCAATGAGAAGATTGTGAATTTGATGTGCAAACGTTGAAGCCTCTTTTTCTGGCAATGTTCTTTGGACGGCTCAAATGATCTCTATTGTTTATGACGGCCATTTGTTTGTAATGTTATTAGCCCAATTATCGATCCTAAGTTTCTGCCTTTTTTGTTGTTCATGCAGATTAGGTTGAGCCCATTTTTATTCATCCAATAATAATAATAATAATAATAAAAGAAAGGGTTCATGGAAAGGGGATGATTACTTAACATAGACGAAAATTTTATTAAAAAATAAAAAGAGTTGCCTATTAGTATGTAGTCACCAGAGGGGAAAACACTAAACCTAAGTTTAGGTAACATGAGAGTTTTGACAAAACTTTCTACCAAACATGAATAATATAGCATAATGTATAATACTAAGTAAATTAATCTCCATTGAATTGGTAATGTCGACTCAGTTTGAATTTACAAAAATAAAACAACACTAAGAAGTTACATCCACTTTAACCATATTAATTACTTGGTTCATATATATTGAAATTGTTTTTACCCTTCATTTTCATAATATTGTTTCTGTATTTAAACAAAAACAAAAAAAAGGAAAGAAAATGTAAGGGCGGCATATAATTTCTACATTACAGGATCTTTTAATTTCTTAATATTAGTATATAAATCTTCTGCAAATAATAGTTATAATAATAAAAGAAGGCGAAAATCTCCTGGCGGAAGCCTTTCAACTTGTATTATCCTTGGTGGTAGGTAGATGAACTTATATATGGAAGCTACCACCCTGCCTCTGCCTTGGTGGCAGTCAATATCATGCTTCAATAATTTCCTTCGTCGGCTGGCAAACGTAACCGTAAAGAGATATCTTAAATGGATCATGCTATTAAAATGCTTTTGCATTTATTTCACAATTAGTGATACTTTACAGTACAATTATATTATAGAAAATGTGATTATTGGTAAAATAATATTGCAATGCTTAATATATTAAGGAAAGTGTTATTAAAATATTGAAAAGATAAGCTTTTGGTTTATAAGCATTTTATTAAAGATGTAATGTTAGTTTCAGAATTATTTTTATATATTTAAATATAAATTTAATATAGAGTAAAGTATTTTTACTTCTTAAGTTTTGATTATAATTTTACACAAATTTATTAATTTAAAAAATAGATAATTCACCCTAAAAGTATAAACGAGGGTAAAAATAAAAAATTATAATTTATATAATGTAGTAATTTTTAAAAATAATGAAAAGTAAAATTATAAAAAAATATTATCACGTCATTAAATTAATAAAAACATTAATGATTGAACTTATATGTGCAGGGAAAGATTTTTTTTGAGACGGACAACCTATTTTTATGTTAATAAATTCGTATAAAATTATGATCAAAGCTTAAAAAAATAAGATATTTTACTCTTTAATTTTATATGATATCATCTCTTAAGTAAATTTTCAACAAATAACTAAGCATCAAGTAAATCCATGTTAATATTAATCAAAAAATAACTTTTTATTTGTTAGCAATTTTAAAAAATTTAAAATATAATGTTATTAGTATTATTTTGAAATATTTGTAAAACATTAAAAATGAAAATAATTCTTTTTAAAAAAATTAAAAAAACAGAAGAGATTTTTGAAAAAATATTGAAAGTAAAAAAGACATATTTTTATTTCCAAAAGTTTATTAAAAATTACAGAGAGGAAATTTTTTTTATAATTTTAAAAAATTATGAACATACAAAAGAATATCTTTTATTTTTCAAAAATTCTAAATATATTTTTTATTTTACAGATTTTCTAATATTTTATAATTTTTTAAAAATAAAAATTATTTCTATTATTATAGTTCTAGAATTTTTTAATAATTAATTTTTATTTTTTTAACTTTTATGAAAATTTCTAAAAATTATGTTTTTCAAATTTTATAATTTTTTTAAAATTTAAAGATATTTTTAATTTTTTTAAAATGATTATTAATTGAAGAAAGATAAAAATATCACACCAAGTTTGATAACATTGCAAAATACGTTGTAACAAGAGATTGTATCTATTTTAAAATATAATCACATTATATCTATTGATTATATTATGATTATATTATAATTTCATATTAATATTTTTAAAAATAAATAATTTAATATAATTTAATTATCTTATAAAAATGACAGATTTAGAGATGAAAGCATCCAACTAACGGTCTCCACTACACTTGCATCGTTATTCGAGCACAATTATTTGCTCGTTTCAAGATCAGGGAAAGATACGTTTGCCTGTGGAGAATCCAGCTACATGCCAGAGACCTGACCTGGAATCTTCTGCTACCCTCTAAAATTATATTGTAATAATTCAGTATATATACTTGATCCAAACAGATAGATGTTTGGGAAGTTAGGTGTCATTTTATGTATATACTACTAATAAGAAATCCAACAATAAAAATTTGAAACTTTTTTAAACATTTTAAATATATACAAAATTAATTCTTGTTTAGAAATAATTTTTATTGAAATGTTTAGTAATTTTTAATTATTTTTTTTAAAATTTGCCATCTATTGACGAGAGAGTTTGATCTTCAATCGTGGTGTTCCTTTTTTGTAAGTAATAATGGAGGTTATTTAAGGGTTTGTCATGTTATATTATATTATTATAAATGTTAATATTATAGTAAAAAAATAGTATAATAGTTTTAATTTGTATAGAGGCAGTACAAACTAAAGTCAAACACGTGCCCCACCACTTTATTTAATAATAATGCAGTGAATGAAGACTCTGCTACGATATTAAACCTTTTGAGACTGAGTGTTGCATCTTACTTCTTTGTGCTACAATTTTGTAGTAACAAACCAAAGCAAAGCCAACGGAAGACTTATCCTGAAAAGCGGGCATCCTATCCACAATCATCTCCTCACTCAACTCATCAAACTCAGTCAACTTCTGCCGCAGGCGTCTCCGTACACACACCAGGCCACCGGCTCTCAGCCGACAATATGGAGACGACGCCACTGTTAAACGGCGCACCATCTACGACGTTGACGTTGTTGGAGAATGGAGACTACGCGCCGGTGAGGAGCTTCAAGGAAGTGAAGTCGGTGTTTTGGATGGAGACGGTGAAGATGTGGAAGATCGCTGGTCCCATTGGTTTCCAAATAATGTGTCAATATGGAACTAACTCCGTCACTAATATATTCGTTGGACACATCGGTAATATTGAACTCTCAGCCGTCACCATCGCTCTCGCTGTCCTCGGGACTTTCTCCTTCGGCTTCATGGTTTGCTTCCTCACTTTAATTCTTTCTCCACGTGTGTGTATATATATATATATATATATTAACACTGGCTTCTTTCTTCATATATATCGAAAAATGGAAAACTTTTGCTGTGTTGACTTCTCGTTAAGTCTAGCGGTAAGGGGATACTGAGGAAGTGGATGAAAGACTAAATAAGTCTTTCATTTTGATAAAACATTCAATTCGTTTGTTTTTTTTTTCTTTTTAGTACTGCAAGAAGGTAAAATGAGAACAACAAATTTCCTTTAATTTAGAGCTAATTACATATCAACATTTGAGTTACTATAAAATTGTAAATTTAATAAGTAAAATTGCATACGTCACTTTTAGGAGACTAATTTTTTTTTGTCACTTCACTCGTTTGATTAATAAAATTAGAAATTTAATCATAATTTGAATATAGAATTAACTCTTCTATTTATTTATTACTATTTGATTAGCCAAAAAAGCCAATATGGGAGATTACAATAAGATTATAAGATTATGATTTTTAGTAGTAATTTTTGTTTCCTATGAAGTCTCTTTCTGAAGCATGACATTGTGTGCTTTTGGAATAGTGGGGTAAACACATTCTATTGTTCTTGAATATGTAAAAACAGAAAAGAAATATATGGAACCTAATTAAATTTGTTGTGCAAATTATGAATGAACATGTAGCTTGGCATGGGGAGTGCACTGGAGACACTTTGTGGGCAAGCTTTTGGTGCTGGACAAATACACATGCTTGGCGTTTATATGCAAAGGTCCTGGATAATCTTGTTGGCCTCTTGTTTCATCATATTGCCATTTTACATTTTTGCCACGCCAGTCCTCAAACTTCTGGGGCAAGAAGATGAGATCGCTAACCTGGCTGGGAAGTTCGCAATACTCACCATCCCTCAATTGTTTTCACTTGCCATAATCTTCCCTACTCAAAAGTTCCTTCAGGCTCAAAGCAAGGTTAGCGTGCTTGCTTGGATTGGGTTGGTGACTCTGATTTTTCACGTCGGGATCCTTTCGCTGTTCCTTTTGGTGTTTGATTGGGGTACAACTGGGGCAGCCATAGCATATGATATCACCAGCTGGGTAATCGCTTTAGCTCAAGTCGCCTATGTTATTTTCTGGAGCAACGAGGGGTGGCATGGCTTTTCATGGTTGGCATTCAAGGAGATATGGGCCTTTGTTCGACTCTCCATTTCCTCAGCTCTGATGCTTTGCCTCGAGGTTTGGTACATGATGAGCATGATTCTTCTTGTTGGTCACCTCAATAATGCAGTGATTGCAGTCGGTTCCCTTTCAATTTGGTGAGTTCTATTAAAGCTCTTCAATTGTTTCTGAATCGTATCATATATATTCTCGTGCTTCACTGCTGATTCAATCACTTCAAAGTTAATTTGGAAGTGACGAAAGATTTTTAACTTCGGCGTCACTCATTCTATATACTTGGATTGAAGTAGTTAAAGCAGCATGCTAACATGAGCATTGAGCAAATGGGATTGGAAAATGGAAAGAGTTCCGAAAGAAACGACATATTAAATCAATTATGTAATGAAACGACTATTAGAGAGTCCAACCATTTAATTTTACAAATTACAATTTTTACCGCAATTCTTTGGATTGCTTTAATGCATTGTTCTGACATTTATGATCTATTTATTCACATTGTCCAAGCTTCTTACTTGTTCCTTGAATTTGATTTACATGGCAGTATGAATTTGAATGGGTGGGAAGCTATGTTGTTCATAGGAATAAACGCTGCTATGAGGTAAACTTCTTCAGCATATAGGGAAAATTATACACATATTGACATTTTCATACTATTAGGGGTCATACATCATTTTCATATTTTTCTCAAAATTGTATTTCTTTTTTTGGCTGAACGGCAATATAAGCAGACCGGCATGATAATCTTGAAAACTGAAACCTTTTCATTCGGCAGCCATAGCTATACAATAATAGTCTCATCTTAGTCGAAATTACTGTTAAAGGTACCATAGAACAGTAGGCTTCCTCTGGTTTTGTAAATTTTTTGCTAATGGCATTGCTGAAACAAAGGATCTACTACTTTACTTTTTGTGACAATGGTGAATCATCTTTCTTTAATTGATACCACATTTTGATCCAATTTTCTCAGCGTTCGGGTTTCCAATGAGCTTGGATTGGGACATCCAAGAGCAGCCAAGTACTCCGTATATGTTACCGTGCTTCAGTCTCTCTTCATAGGGCTTTTATGCATGGTTGCTATCATCATAACCAGGGACCACTTTGCAGTCATTTTCACTAGCAGCGAAGAAATGCAGCGAGCTGTTGCTCATCTGGCATACCTTCTTGGTGTGACCATGGTTCTTAACAGTGTCCAGCCTGTTATATCAGGTATCTCAATAAGTTTTTTCGGCTATGAAATTAATTGCTTAATCGCTGTATCTCTTCTCTTGGTCATATACTTTCTCTGTTATTCTTGTAGGAGTTGCTATTGGCGGTGGGTGGCAGACATTGGTTGCTTATATTAACTTAGGTTGTTATTACGTTTTTGGTCTTCCTCTCGGATTCTTACTTGGTTATACAGCAAACTTAGGAGTGATGGTATGATTTTTCTGTTCCACTTCCTCTCCTCCTGTATATGCATGATGAACAGCTACCAATTTCCATCTGATTCTAATTAGTTTAATGTAAAATATGTGGCCTTGTTTCTGACTGTGGCCTGATGCAATCACCAGGCATGCCTCTCCTTAGGTAGAAGGCTCAAGCTGAAATTCTTAATAACCAAAATAGAACACCTCTAACTTTTCTTCCCACCATGCAGGGACTTTGGGGAGGCATGATAGCTGGAATTGGTTTGCAAACCTTGCTGCTCTTGCTTGTTCTCTATAGAACCAATTGGAACGAGGAGGTTAGTAAACTTGCTTTCGTTATTATGTCCCTAGATACTGGAGTTTCTTCCGGCTAAACTTGCTTATAATAGAGCATAATCTGAGACATACCACTTATTTCTTTTCATCCTCTTCTATCTCTGCTTACAAACCTTTCTATTTACTTATAAGATGACAAAAGTTCCAAGGAAAATAACCAGTAATATGATTTCATTTTGATTGTACTGTGTGGTCAATTGCGTTTTGTTTTTTCTCACGTAATCCAGGGTCTTCGGAATTCTAGACAAAGTAAACCAAGTAGTAGAGTAATTCTTTTGCAGGTTGAACAAACAATGGAACGTATGAAGAAGTGGGGTGGCCAAGACATCAGCACCGACAAGGTTAATGATAGTAACATATGACATGAGTTGTTAGAAGAACAACAATATTGTCATTACTCTTTGGCATTTGTTTGGTTTTATTTCTCCTGATTCTGCAGGGAGCAAGGTGGTTTGTACTGAATACTGTCACAAGCTGACTTGAATCCGTGGTCTTGTCTCACGTGATTTCTATATGGAGGCAATTCCAATTAGAGATAAAAAATATAGTAAATAAATAAAATCCTTTGTCATTCAACAAAATTTGTGTGTGCATTTAGCATTTTAAAAAAAATTCATTCTGTTCATTAAATTAATTAAATTTATATCAATAGATGTAACGTAAGAACGTTTAAGATTGTATTGTATTTAATTTAGTTTTTAACAAAATCCCAGTGTCAAGATTTTGTCATGATTTTATCCAAAAAGAAGCAGCAAAACTGCTAGAAAGGATACAAGAAGAAGATCAGGCCGAGATCAGCACTGACCAAGGATCAAGAGAACAAAAAACAAACAGACAAGAAACTACAGGAGGACAACATCATACAGAACCCAATTAGTTCAAAGCTGTCTATATTAAGACCCTGCAAAGGGAATCTAACAGTCTCCACCATACTTTCTCCATGACTCCAAAACAGTTTTTGCTTTATTTACGATACACTATTGTTCTCCTTAGTGGAAATGGGACAGGCATAAGCATTCCAAGCTGTGCGAGGAATAATCATCAACAGAAGCTTCACATTTAAGCTTGGTCCTGGCCCAGCGAGACTCACATATCCAATCTCCAATTTGTGATGTTGGACCTACGTGGTTCTGTTCAAAAGATTGTGGAGGATGCAATCAAATCAGTTCTTCTTCAGAGCTACAATTACATAAATTGAAATGTGTTCAACATTCACACGAGGAAAAGACACCGGGTTATGCCAACAAGCTACAAAGGTCTACATGATTAATATAGCACATCGAGCATATGTCAGGATGGCCGAGTGGTCTAAGGCGCCAGACTCAAGTTCTGGTCCTCGTGAGAGGGCGTGGGTTCAAATCCCACTTCTGACAGGTCTTAATTTTTCTGAGTTTTTTGGGGGCCGAACATGACATTCAGTCCAATTACTGATTTTTCTTCTACACTTGAGAATTTATCTAAAGAAAAAGGAGCAAGGGTAAAACTTAAAAGATTTAAAAAAGCAGGGAAGCTACTTCCGGGAGAGTAATGTTTTAGCCTCCTTTTGACATGGGAGGGATATTCACGAGGCTACAACAAGGGAGTCGGCCATCTCAATCTGGTTATGGCTTCCTCCTCCTCTATCATCGCTTCACCTCAATGGACTAGTGATGCTGACTGGGGAGAGCAGAGTCATCGGCGTAAATCAAGTCTCTACATTTCAAACGCAGATAGGTTCTCGTTTTTTACCATACTAAGGTATTGTAGTCAAAGAATATTGATTGGTATTTTACCTTAATAGTTGTTACCATTAATCACCACATTTATTAATACTTGATATCAATATGAAGAAAAACCTTGTTTAACAGGAGCAACGACAGTAGGAAGTGTTAAATCTCACAAATTTCTTCAGCAACCCGGAGTTCAATTCAATTCAAACTAATATAATGGTTCATTTGTCATTTGTGGCAAGAAACCAGGCCTTTCGTCAATTCCGTTATAAACTTGACAAGACTTCGCAACCAACAAAGAGAACATTACTTTAAAAATAAATTGAAAGAATATGTCACCTCAACATACCATCTTCACATTTTGATGTTTTAATTATGTCGCTCATTAATCACGTAATATGTTGGTGAATTTGCTTAAATCAGGGATACGGTGTTGTGGAGCTGCAATAAACAGAGAGGGGCAGGCAGACGATCAAAACCAAAATTAGTGCAAAATGTTCCAAAACAGCATTAATATTGAGTTTTAATAAACACCTAATAAAGCAAAAAGGGCAAAACGTAACAGTCATTTTCTAGCAAACATTGGCTTAAAGAAGGCCTACAAAATTATTGTCCAGCTTTCTGTTTCTTGGGCATTCTGTAGCCACCCACAACACAAGCATGGTCACGCTCAAAAGGTTCAAGAGTGACTTGCTCGAATGGCTTGAACTGCTCTTGTTGCAATTTCTTAACTTCACTCTGGAATACAGCCTCGGCAGGAACAGTGGAGTCAATGCAGTTTGCCTGGCATGAAATATTCAAGCAGGTTTAGACAACATATAGAGCTGATAGCATCTAATGAAATTAGAAAGTTCACATATTAACTTCCAAGTCCCCGAAAATAACAAGTTTTACACATTTCCAGCTTTAAAGCCACAAATTTTGGAACACTAACCTTGATTGAAATAACAAAATGACCTCCTGCTTTCAGGAAATAGGATGCATTCAAGGCCAAAATCCTAGCCTGCAAATAAAGTCAGAAGTAACCAAAAACTTAGACTCAAAAGAAAAGTGCAAACATTTCATCAACTCATTCCCACCGGATAAGGATCCGAGAGACACAAGTGAGTAGGCTGGAGGATTTCCAATGGACTTAAATCAGAGACATCATATTATCATAAACTCATTTTGTGTAATAAAGAGCACTGACAGAAGAAATGCTTTCTCTTTGTATAAAAAACAATGCAATGCACAAGATTAGTCCATTAACCTTTAACAAACATTTAGAAGAAACAAAGTATGAACGTGTAAAAAAAAAAGATGGAACATTTCAAATACTAATGTGACATGAGATAAAAATAAAAGAAGGAAAGAACAAAAAAGATATTAAAATAAAAAAAAACACAATTACAACTCTTAAGAGAGTAAAAAATTGCTTATAGAAAAAAAGAAAAAAGGTCACAAAACCTTGAACAAACATGATAGCGAGATTGAAGCAAGCATCAGAAACTCGGTATTGCATCACCCATGATGTCTTGAAGGGGAATCCGAGTACCTCATCATTTGCTTATTGACAAAGTGAAATAATAACAAAACAGAGAAAAAAATGGGAAAAAAAATCTATATAAATTGGAAAAAAAAAGGCGTATACTATGTAAGAGTTTCTTAGACATACTTCCAGGTTAAGAGTTAGTATCTTTAAGTTTCAACTCCTTGCAGACAAAAATATATATATATAGCTCGTATAGTAAACAAAAATCAAGAAACAAAATTTCCAAAACAAAAAAAAAATTAAAACTTTCTTATAAACCAAGTTTGATAGACTATTTAAAGATGATGACTTAATATTGCATCAGAAACTCGAGTTTGCATCACCCATGAAGTCTTGAAGGGGAATCCGAGTAGAGCTCATCATATGCATATAATAAGAAAGAGCTATGGTACAAGTACTGAACAAGCGCACTCTCTAAAAACAGAACGCTGAATAATAAACACATACAATGCCAAATGAGAAACAAAACCAAGCAAAGTGCCTGGTCAGTTAAAAAGCAAATGTGAAATGAGTGTAGGCCATAAGATGCAGGCAAGTGATGAGAAAAGAATAGAGAGCATAAATACGAAGGTGCATCATCAAGATTTAACACACTACAGCACAACCAGTTAATCCACCAAATAGAACATCTGCCTGATTGTTTCTTCACTACTCTCTAAATGACAAATAAAGTAAGAAATACACAAAAAGCAAACCTGATCAGGCTGAGCAACATCAGAAAATATCACATCCACCATGCCAACTAGCATCCTGTATTTGGAAGGATGCCTAGCATCTTCAATGATAGGTATAACATTTGTTCGCTTCTTCGCCATGTTGACCAAGTCTCTACCACTTCTGTGTGAAAATTCTACAGCATATACCACTCCCGTCTAAAAAGGGGTACAACCAATAAGCAACTTTGCCAAACACAAAGATATAAAGACATTGAAATCATAAGCCTAAATAAACTTACAGGACCAACAACATCAGATACATGTGAAACAGTGGTACCAGAAGCAGCTCCAAGGTAGAGAACCTTAGCACCAGGTTTCTTTAATTAAAAATAACAATATACACATGTCAGTCAGAAACTAAAGGGTGTCAGAATAGATATACACATAGCATGAACAAAAAATAACCAAGATTTGACGGCTTACAATCCAGATATTATCAACACCACCAAGAATTGCAGCTGCCAACTTAGACCGGAAAGGATTCCAAACCCTGTACTCAACTTTAGTACCATCTTCATTCTGTTAAGACAAAAAGCATGAGAGACCCTCAATTTCTCATTTCAAAATACTCATGTCAACAAGTCAACTGGAAGAGCTAACACCAAATTAGCAAAATAATAGAGCATCTTTAATCCATCATATGAACTATCATATATTACATAACAGGAACAAAATGAACTGAGTTATTAGAAAGACAAATAACCTGCACAGCAATTCTTTTTTCATTGTAGACAGCCTCACCAGGGACCATATTCTTAGTTACAAGAGCATCTTCTTTACCCTTGGCAACAAAAACTCCCTCGTGTCTATGGGGCTCAACTATAACCTTGCTCCCACCCTTCATTCCTCCTCTTCCTCCTCCACGCCCTCTTCCTCCACCATGGCCACCACGTCCCCCACCACGGGGTTTCATGCCACTGCCCCTATCGCCACCTCTTCCACCACCACCACCTCTTCCTCTCCCTCTCCCTCCATCACCTCTGCCCCTAAACCCACCACCGCCACCACCACGGCCTGCACATAATCCAACCATTAGAAATACAATAACGAGACTCAAAACCAATAAAAACAAAACAGAACTAAGATGCTTCTTAACCCCAAACTATAAGACCCAACTTTGTTTAAAAACAAAAAAAAAAAAGAAAAATAAACCCAAGACTGATAACTGAACGGTGTCCTCCAAGAAGATACTTATGAAGCCTACACTCAGTCGGGTTCTAAATTTGGAATTACTACTTTCTTCGATAACAGTATAAATTGCGCATAAACAGAAATGAAAACCTTCAAATCAATTTGGAATGAGAAAAGTGCGACAATATACAGAAAGCACAACGGAAATGTGAGAGCAGAGATTAAAAAAAAACAAGCAAGGAAAAAGAGAGACATTGGTTACCTCTTGGAGGTCTCATCCCTGGGAGAGTTTGAAAGCACAGAGAGAGAAACAGCAAGCAACTAGATAAACAGAGAGGCTGAGAGGCGAAGCAATATTTGGGCCGAAGGCTTAGAGATTATTATATAACAACGCTTTTAGGGTTTAGGGTTTTCACCTTTTGATGGGAGGCGCTAAGGCGTACCGATAATGTAAGGACCTGTGTGTGAAAGTTTAAGAGGGTCCAATCACAAGGTGCCAGCTGGGATAGGAAGTGCACTGTATTTACAATATAATCCCTGTACTTTCAGCAATTTCTGAAACTCGTCCCAAGTTGTTTGAGAATTTACAGGAGCATCCTGCTTTGTGCCTCTCTCAACATTCTTCATTTATTTTTTGACATAATATTTTTAAAAGTCTTGAAATTATTTTAAAAAATTCAAATAAATTTTTATGTCTAATGGATAAATAATCGTCATTAATTAAAAACATCACTTGTTATTTTTTCTATACATATAATACTGATATGAAAAATAAAAATATCATATGATCATGTCATTACATCAAATGAGTATATCACATTATCATCTATTATGACATGTGTGCATATCATGTTAACTCTATATAACATAAAATGGTAAGTGATGTTTTAACTAATAACAGTTGGTCAATCATTAATCATAAAAATTTATTTGATTCAAAATAAAAATATAAAAACTTAATTAAATTTAATAAAAAATAAAATTTTATTTAATTTTTGAATAATTTAAAATTTTTAATATTATGTCTTTTTTTGTTAATTATAATTCGAACTAGTGACTTGAGAAATATATACTTAATGCAAAAAATTCACGAATTAATTAAAGGGATGGACTTTTAATGCTCAAAACTTGTTATAAATAATTAGGAGCAATTATAGACTTTTATTAAGAGGTCAACGAAGCAAAAGAATAATGAGTACTTAAAACATTAGTTCTATGTTTCTTTTTTTAAGTCCCTTGTAAACATGATAAACATGTGAGAAAGTAAGGGAAAGCAAATTTCCCCCTTTGCTTTGCTTGTTGAGATGAAAGAAGTTTGCTTCAATTGTGGACCATGTTCCATGCCAACAAAATCTTCATAATTATGCTGCTTAATTGAAGTTTGGAGAGGTAGATTTTTCATGCTACGTTGCAAATTAAGTTTGCTATACCATGGTCCATGGGTATTGCTAAACCATGTGATTGACATGAATTAATAAGGTACAAAATTTACTCATGATATGATTCATAAAAGCAAATTATTCCATTCCAAGTAACGAGTGTTATCGCCATTACATGCTTCAAAGTCCTATTCCTTTCGTTATCAACATGACCAGTTTATCTTAAGTTTCCCTTTGGTTCTTCCTCAGTGCCTGACCACAAAAACCTGCTCAAGCATAATATACAATTGCAACAGCGCTCATTAGAAGTAGACAATGAATGGGTCAATGAGCCGGGCTTTGGGAAGTTTAAGCTCAATCTAATTTGGGTCCCGGTCTTGTAGAGAAAATAATTCAAGCTTGTCCGTATCATGTCATATTAATAAGTACAGTAGCTGAGATCAAGCCGAGAGAGCCTATGGATTATCGAAACCCGATACAATCCGGGACAGACTTTTGGCCCTCGAAGGGCCAGCGATAGGAAGTAGCCATTAGCAAATGTCAAATATATAACCTTTGTTCTTCCAAAACTCCACAAGATAAAGTGCACAAAATGTCAGAATCATATTTAATATTTTATAATATAATATAATTATAAATGATATAGTTATAATTACAAGTAATATAATTACAAAAAAATAATATCATAGTATTTGATATATAAGTAAAATAATAATTAAAATGTAAAATAGATAATATTATAGGATTTGATTTACAAGTACTTTTATGATAATGTAATGTTCATTTTTAAAATTTATCATATTTATTAAAATATAAATTTAATATATTTATATTTTTATTATTAATTTTTATAGAATACCATCTATTAAAAATATTTTTAATAATATTATAAAGTGTAATGTAATGTGATTGTATTAATTTTAAACTGTAATCACATTGCGTCTATTGTAATGCGATTGTATTGTAATCTTACATTACAATAATCTGTTGTAAAATAAATATTGTAATATAATTTAATTAAACATATTATAAAAAATATATTCTCATTTTTTTTATACCAAATACTATTTAATAAGCATCTTGGGGCTGGATAAAAGTATCTCACCTTGCCAGCAAGAAAAAACGAAAATGTTTAATATGACATATGGTAATGGTTAGCTTCATTAGACTGTATCTTGCCTTATTCATAATTTCATATCATATGGTACTAATATTTTGTTGTTCTTTTATTTTGTGATCCATATCATAAGTTAAAAGAGTGATACTGTGACTTATAATCAATTCAGCTAGTCCATTTTCTATAGACCATGCATAAGCAATTCTGATGGTCCACAAAATGGGGGAAAAAAAGAGAGCTATAAACAGAGAAGAAGATAATGGGCTTACTGGTCTAACTCAACCCGTGTTCACTCCGTGTCGCAACTTTCTGTTTCCCTAGAAATAGAATATTCCTCTCCCACCAAGGCACGCACTTCAATGGTAAAAGACTCTCCCTATTCGGTCATAATACATTTCATTCTCCAGTTAGAAATTGCCATCTGTGACTGTCAGTCGAGAGGCCAATTAAGCAAACACTTAACGGCTAAGCAAGCTATTGCCCGTCCCGTGATTTCCCCTGCTCCAGATGCGTTAATAGCTTATTCTTCCCCACCAGTTTTTACCCATTATACCCTCCTACCATATTACCATATTATCGCACTTCTCCTGTCTAGAAGGTCAATCTAGTAATTGCATTTATTTATACCATAGAACCTCTTCATGGATTAGAATTATAAATGGGCGCAAACATCACAATGTCCCTCAGAATCCTAAACAAAACCCGTTTCTTCTCGAAATTGCCCTTTACACCCTTGAAAGAACCGAGATGGCCTCTCCCCTTGAAATAGAGGTAACCCTCTCCTCCGCCGAAGCCCTCAAAAACGTCAACTGGCGCCACGGCCCCATCAGGCCATATGTCGTCGTATGGGTTGACCCGAAGAATAAGTGTTCCGCTAAAGTGGACGAGGAGGGTGACACGTGTCCCATATGGGACGAAACTCTAGTCATTCCTCTCCCCGGTCCCATCTACGACGACTCCACTCTCTTTGTCGACGTCGTCCACGCCGGCTCCGAGGAGGACACCAAGCCTCTCATCGGCTCTGCTAAGCTCAAGCTCCGGGATGTCCTCGACGATGCTGGCTTCGGACAACGCCACAAGAAAACGCTCCATCTGAAGCGACCATCGGGTAGACCCCAAGGAAAGTTGACCTTAAGGTTTTGATCCGAGAGCCACGCTATTATGCGCGTGATCCCTACCATGCACCTCCCTACGGGGTCCCACCACCAGCTTCTAGAGACTATCCTGCTCCGCCTGCTTATGGTTACTCGTACGCGCAGGCGCCATCGCCGCAAAATCCTTACTACAACGTAGCCCAGCCAGCTGGCTACCCTAACAGTGCGTACAATTATAATGCTCAGCCGGCGTACGGTCAGGCTCGTACGGCGAGGGAAGCGGTGCGTATTACGGGCAAGAGGAAAAGAAGAAGAGCAAGTTCGGAGGGATGGGAACAGGATTGGCTGTGGGTGCGGTTGCAGGGGCTTTGGGTGGGCTGGCGTTAGCGGAGGGTGTGGATGCGCTGGAGGATCATTTCGAAGATAAGGTGCGGAGAAAGTTGAAGAAGATCTCGGATACGATGATGGTGGTGATGATTTCTAATTTTTGATCGTTCTTCACATTCTATGTTGTTAATGTCAATTGAATTGTACTTCAGCGCTACCATAGTAGGATATTAATTAATCCATTTAATGTAATGGCCAAAGTGGTTTTGGGATTTTGATGTCTTTTTTCTCAAGATGATGGGACATTGTAACAGGGCGTGGAGATTGTGGCCATGTTAAAAGGATATGCTTGTCGCAAATAAAAGCTGAAGTTAGGCATCTAATGCCTTGCTGGAAAGTACTCTGTCCCAATGTATTGAACAATTACCTTTATGATAAAGAGAAACCATTCTTTGGACAAGTAAGATATATTAAAGCATTTGGGTGTGCTAGGAACTGAGCAGATTCTTATCTTTTTTATGTTTTAAGTCGGACGGTGATAAAAGATTATATCCCAAATTCCCATATATTTTTATTATCCAGGGTTGGATGAAGAAACCACGGCCTTACTCAATGGTTAGATTAGATGCGTTTACTATCCAGGGGTTCAACTAGGGCTTAAGGCTATTACAAAAAGCAAAAATAGGCAAAAGCCCACTAACTGATAAAGCCCAAAGTCAAGGCGTCTTTTTGATCTCTTTGCTGCCGTGTAAATGTGTAATCCATTCAAGCCATTAGCAGGTAGCGACACGAGTAGGAATGCCATATATGATTACATTAAAAGTTAGTAATATAAAATTCCTATTCGTATATGATAGTAGCTGATAATTTATAAAGGTTGCCTGCTCCAAATCTACTAGTAGTAGTTAATGAAGAGAAAATTAAAACATGCTCTTGCATGCGGCAACTTTGGAAAAATCCGAGTAGGGGGAGGCATATGCTTGTGAGCAACATCTGAAGTGTAATGCAATGAAATTTTGCCATCCTCCATGCTGAAAACCGATGTTGCGAGGTCCATAGGGGTCATATAGACATACTTCGTAGTAATCATCCGTATGATAAATGGAATTTGATTGGCATCAGGGAAAATCCGATGTAAGAACGGTCATGGAATAACTGTCACCCAAGAATATAGCATTGTCACCCTAGGTATTTATCTCTTCCAAGGCTTATGCCGCATAGGATCTTCTAACAACTTGAAAACCTTAAAACCGGAAGTCATATACTGCAAATCAACATCCTTTGTATCCAAAAACCTAATAATCTGCAGCAAGTCCCCAATCGATGATGCTACAAGATATGTCTTGATCTTAGGAACTATATAATCATTTGACGACACCGCCTTTTTTTCCCGCTTCTGCCGCTAGTGTCAATGGAAACAACTCCACAAAAGTACCCCACCACATAGATAGAACCTTTATGATAATTAACATCAAAGAGTGCGTGGCCTTCGAAATTTGTGTCCGTCCAAGGTTTGTCTTCACAAATCATAAAAGCCAATGAATAATACTACCCATAAATTGCCGCAACCTGAAAGTTATCCCGGGATAAAGATGGATCAGTTGATAATACCACCTTCCTCACTACGTACTGATAGAAGCCAAGATGATCAGGGTCATCGATTCTGTCAGATACATCCATGATTGGCGGAAGACGGATGTTGTCTTCCGTGAAGGGGTTAAAGACAAGTATAGCTGTATAGACCTCCACAAACATGACCCAACCGTGTGAAGTCCGCAGCACCTTCGGTTGTAAGGAACGTTTAGTTGCAAGTTGAGGAATTTCCTGTCCGTGATGCTGTATAAACCGCGACTTACTTGGCTGTTGTCTTTGGTAGGAATCATAAGCAGTGGAAGTTGCTTGCAGCAAGTTCGGATTCGCCATCTTTTCTGGTCTAAAGCAACATCGCGCCATCGTTTACAGACGGTAGCGAATCGGATGTAATAGGAAAGTGGAAAGAACTTGCCCAAGACCTGATCAAGGACATTCTTTGGAAGCCATGCCCATTCCCTTGTCTCTTCGGTGGCCATTGTCATAGCCTACCTTTTGGACACAAAATCATAACCCTAAACCAAAAGCGTACACGCACTTTACAATTAAGGTTCTTCTTAGTGTTTGGCGCTAAGGACTCTACTGAAATTTATGGAAAAAAAATCTTAAAAGATTCACATATTTACTTTTTATTTAAATCCGAATCCCGCAACCTTTGGAGTAATTAATTCTCCAATATATATGCTATATATTATTTCAAGATTAATTTTATATCATTTTCAATTTTTTACATATAAGCAATATTAAGACTAGCCAACACACAGGAGTATCGAAAAGACTACCTAGTGTGTACATATGTATAATAAAAGTATACGAAACACTCTAGCCAGTACATTTTCTTGTTCTCTCGTATGGATACCGTCGGTCAAAGTGGCCTCTCATATCAGCCTTGCTTCTGAACCTCCGGCCTCAAGATTGTTTGGCGCAAAAGATCTTGCGGTCGCTGTGGCTCTACCTGATGATCAAGCAATATTCCATCCTTGCTTCCAAACTCCGCTTCGCAAAGATTACACCATAGGCCAACATCAAAGAAGCCACCATGCTCTGGGGGAGGTGACCGTTGGGGTGGCGCCGCGGCAGCCATGAAAATCAATTTGGGGAGTAGGAAAGTCAAAAGTGGAAATTAGAGCCAAAAGGGCTGGTGACAAATTGTTGTAAACACTGAATATGGGTTATCTCCAAATGGCTAGCACTGACCATGGTTTTATACAACTAATTTTGGGTCCAAAATATGTACTTTTTTTTAATTCAATTTGTTTATTTTCATGTCACAAATATCGCATTACCCTTTCTTGGGTCAACTTTCGTATCTTTGATCATCATCACATGCAGATGCTTTCACATAAAAAAGCACAACTCGTTTAATATTTCTATACCTTATAAATAGCTATTTGGTTAATTTAGTTTGTAGACAAGAGCCTCACCCACTCAAACATTTCCACATTTAGAGCTCCTCAAGGCTCAGCGTTAATGGAAATCGCCTGACCCGCTGATCTCTATGTCATTGTCATCGGTCTTTTGGTTTTTATACTTAATTTGTATGAAGTATGATTCGTTACTATATGTTAGGATTCAACCGTACTCTTATCCAAAAATAAGAAGTATGTTTATATCTTTTTAAATTAATCTAAATAAGCAAAATACGTATGATCAGTACAAAAGAGAAGAGGTACAATTGTGGGCAAATTAACCAAAAGTGAAGCTATCATCAGAAATTTTACAAGTGCAAAATGTTTGGTAATATTATTTTAGAAGCCTGAAATATGTGTCGTTATATTTGGTAAGAGATTCACGCATAGTGGTAGGGTTACTTAATCGTTTGCGTTCTGAAGAAAAGTATATAAAAGTAATGTTGGACACGTGGCATGTTTTGCTCGCCATGTTGTAAATTTTCCCGTCCGCATCGATCTGTGAATTTATGGGCTTGTGTCGTTGGTTGGGCCTAAACTGCCACGAGATAGTGTCTGAACAAGTTTCATATATGGCTTCTTAGAAGATGGATTTCTCCTCTTCTATGAACAAAAGCAACGTAACATTATTTGCCTTGTAAGTATTAAGATTTTTGAACAATTCTTCGCTTCCAAATAAAGATTTTTTGTGTTATAAAATAATTTTATTTTTCTTACAAGCATAGGCAAAATCAAATGAACTTGTAATATAAAGGGCCCTCTTCCTTATTTCCTTTGAGTTTCTTTCCAGGCAGCAGCTAACAACATTTGAAGCAAACAAATTGTGTGACTGCATTGAATCTTCTCGATTTGTTTGATTTTAATGTTCAATTCTTTCACGTCATGTTACCTTCAGTTTAGGCTTTTCTTCCTTTTTCTATAAAGCAAATTTGATTTAATGTCTGCATTTCATGCTTTCTTTGCAGCACTGAAATTCTGTATTAGAGGAGGCAAATGAAGAAAAGAATCGGTGCAAGGTTCCGTACGTTTCTTTCATGCACTGGTGGTATGTAGATATCTCCAAAAACCAATTTATTTTGTGCATAGTTCATTTTGTTTCATAGAATATTAAAAAGGGGGGAGGGGTAAACTAAGAAACAACTTTGGCATGTCTCAACCATTCTAATTGCGTTAGCCAGAGTTCTTGAAAAACATGTTTGTGTTTCCCAAAAAAGAATAATACTTATTACCGTTTTACCAAAACTTAACTTGGAGAAATCGACAGCAAGGACGTAGACATTAATTTTGTCTTTGAAAGGAATAATGAACATTTGTTAAGCCTGCTCTATTGATGGAGGTTTTGCATTTTTGAGGAATCTTATCATTAATTTGGTTCTGAAAGCAACCGATGAACATGAACATAACATCAATAAAAAAGGATGGATAACAGATTTTGCCATTTATCGGCCATGTAATTTTTAGCAAAAGGCAAAAGCTTCATGCCCTAGTAACCCACATTTGTAATATTCTAAACATATATTGATTTTTTGGAGACGAATACTTTTCCTATGAATTGGAAATTTACACATATTTCAATTCATCTATGTAACAAGTTATATAGATATATATATATATATATTCAATCAATGAATGCACATGGCGTTTCTTACCAAATTTTGCAGCTTCATGTATGATGATAGAAAGCGGTTGTTGGGACAGGTTTAGCCTGGCCGGTCCCGTTTGGATATTTAAGCCTGAGGGCTTTTTTCGTGGACCAACAAGTTTAGGGGCCATAGGGGCTGTTACTGTGTTTGCTTTTTTACAAGTTTAAGTCCGGGATAACTAGTCAACTTAACCACGTTTAGACCCGCAATAATATGTTTGATTTTTAGTTTATATGATCTCAAGTTATACGATGAACCCTTGCTGACCTAATGAGTCGTTTTCAATAAAGGAAAGCCTTGAAAAAGCATTTCTTTCAAAGTTGAATTGATAATCCCGTTAACCTTTGTTGATATTGTTCTTTGCTTTGCAGCATCTGGTGCTAACTCCGCTGTCATCCCAAGCAGCATAGACGTCTGTGAAGAATATGCCAATGCCTTCCGAACGGAATCATACAACGATTTCTGGACACGTGTCCTTGCTCTATCCCATATAGATTCTGCCACGTGTATTAGCCCAATTGATTCAACCACTGCAGCTCGGCTTTCTTCTTATCGGCTCTTTGCTGAGCATCTCTTGGATCCAGACCAAACCACTGTCTCTCGCATCCTTACTTTGATCCAAAACCGACGCACCACCCACTCTCTTTTATTGGACTATTTTTCTCAAACTGCCAATGCTTCTCTCTTATGTGGCCTACTACTAAAAGATATCGACCATACACGTGTCAAGTACCGCTCTTTTAGGACCTCATTTCAAGCCCTTGAGATTGCTCAATTTTCAAATAGAAATCAATTTTTGGGTATTATAACCCGGTTAATTGAATTCTCCAATTCCCCTAACCCATTTTTATCAACTGCTCCATCTTCAAGCCGGGTTCGGGTCATTCAAGCCAGTTGCTGTGATTTGCTTAAACGGCTTGAGTCTAGTCGCCACAAGGCTCGAGCCAAGCTCCATTTAATAAACAGTCTACAACATGGCTCGGGCGTATTTCTAGTAGCATTAACGGCTTCACTAACAATAATAGTTGCATCCCATGCTCTGGCATTGCTCGTGACTGCGCCGGGTCTTATAGCAGCTTCTCTTGAGCTGGCTTCGATGAGAAGGCTTGCAAGGGAGTCGGCTCAACTCGACGCAGCTGCCAAGGGGACTTATATATTGAATAGAGACTTGGACACAATAAGCCGGCTGGTAGCTCGGTTAAATGATGAACTTGACGACATGCGTGCGATGGTCAAGTTTTGGCTTGACCGTGGTGAAGATCGACTCCAAGCCAGTGGTGAAGTGGCACGCCAGCTGAAGAAGAATGATGCTAACTTTACTCAGCAGCTTGATGAGTTAGAGGAGCATCTGTATCTGTGTTTCATGACCATAAATAGGGCTAGAAACCTAGTTGTGAGAGAGATTCTGGATCGGGGTCCACCCACCACCCGGACTCCTGATCTGGTATCAAGATAATCATCTATTCTCTCCATTTACTAATTTAGCCAAAAAAAAACCATTTTATTGTTGATTTTTGTTGGTTTTGTGTTGACAAACATTGAAAAATAATGAAAAACACAAGAAAACTTACGGCTTAGGGTACTTTTTGGTGAATAATAATTAAAGCAGGTAATGGATCAATGCCACCCCAACTTAATTATGAACAATTTTAAGCCGTGGTGATGAACATTTATTGCTCACCAACTCTTTAGTGCAGAAGTTCTAGACGATGAACTGTCAATCAGAAATTTAGAATCTAGTATAATCAGTTATCACCATCTTTTCTATTGTGTGTAATGGAGAAAACTACTGCAAAAAAGTATGGAAATTGTGGTAACTCCCGACGATAGCTGCTTTCACTATCTCCCTAGGAAACAATTAATTCCAGCGTCCCTCAAAATTTACGATCTAAACTATGTATTGCTATCTAGCAAGTCTGGCATCATTGATAATGGAGATCAAGCCAGCCTGCCCGCAGCCCGTCTGCATCACCATCCCTCCTTGCAATAAATCTAAGGTATCTTAGGAGTTTTGGCTGGTAAGGTCATATGGAGTTAATGCTGAACAACTGCATTGTTCCTAGAAGAGAAAACCTGTCCTACATTTTTTGCTAGTAATAATTTCTCATTTCCTTATCAACAGTAAATACTTTCCGTTTTTATGGTTGCCTTATGGCCCGTTTGTTGCAATCCTGTCCTTTGATATACAATTATAACATTATGGGGTTACATAGTCATAGTGATAAAATCATGGACCGATCTAACCGAAAAGTGTGGGTGTTGTCTCTGTTGAAAAGTTTTTATGCTGTTAATCAGAATCTTACATTTCACAACAGGGGAAGATCTTGTACCCTTTTACGTACTAATGGTCAATTTGGCTTTAGAGAAAAAACATATGGACCAAGGAACAAGCCGTATGTCATCAAGCAAGAGATCTGACTTGTAAAATTTTTTAAATAAGGGTACTGACCTTGTTGTAATCGTTGGTTTCCTAGTACCTGTTAGAGTAAAGAGAGGCAAAGGTTAGTGTTGTATTAATAAGAACCGCGCATAATTAAGGTCCCAGAAGTCAAGATGCATACATCATTTCATAGGCATGGGAAGGTAGTAGTTGCTCTCAACAACGTCTCCTATAGAAAGTCTAGTTCAAGTAGAAAACTTTCCAGTAATTTGACTCAATAAACTTGCATTCAATAGCAACATTTATTGTTGCAAATTTATTAGTCAGCGATATCGTTTGCAAAGCGATCCTTTTGATGGTTTAAGTCTTCATCAATGAAGAGTGTCATGAATTCAACTCTCATCAGTGGAAAGCATATTTTCTTTCTTTTTCATTTTATTTGAAAAAAAAATCAGTTTTTATAGAAAATAATGAAATTAACCATCTCACATGAAGGTTTCCATTACAATGCAACATTTATTCAAAGCGATCTAAGTTGGTACCTGTCTTATTCAAAATTCCTATCATTACATGGAATCTTGTAATGTTTAAAGATTAATTTGGTCCATTTGGCATGTGATGGGATTTTAAGTTCAATTAATGCTTCTGGAAGAAAATGAAGCAAAATAAAATGAGATAGAGAAAAAAATGGGATTGGCCTTGATCTACGAGCACTAGTGGTCCACTCTGAAAAAGGAAAAGATATAGAGATATTAGAGAAATACCAATAGCTTTCTGCTCAAATAGGGGGGAGGATGCTTCATATATATATATATATATATATAAGTCCATAACATAAGAGCACCTCTTATATTTATATAGTTATTTCTCTATTTCTTTTGTACTAAATATGTAGAGCTTTTTTTTAATTAAAAAAAAAAAAGAATCTGAGTACCTCTAGTAAATATAGACGTGAAAAAAACTTCTACGACTTCAAAAGGTTATTTATTGTTTACACTTACCCTCATTGAGAAAGCTGAACAGGATGATAGGTGCAAGAGTTTGCAGCTCAAGGTACAAGAGCTTTACAGCACATACACGATAGAGTAGTAACGTTTTGACACAGAGAACAAATATTGAGGTGTCTTAATTGACATTTATTTTAGCCATAGCACAGACAGTGAGCTAGCATAAATTTTTTTACCCAACTGCTTCCCAAACCAGAAGAAGAGACTCGGGCGTATTAATGGATCACAACCGCTCTCATGAATCGCATTAATGCGACCCCAACCACATCAACGGAGTGTATGTGTGTGTCTTCTTCTATAAGTGTCTCTACAGTCTAGTCCCCCCTTTTCTATGTACAACTCTTCGTATCTTTGAAAACATTGTTCTCTTCTTCTAAGAGTTTTATAAGGCTAAACAAAAGAATAATCATCAAGGATATGGCAGGTGAAGTAGTGAAGAAGGAAGAAATGGCGAAGGTGAAAATCACCAGCAAAAACCATGTCAAACCTTGCAAGATTATAGGAAGAAAAGAATGTCAATTGGTCACGTTTGATCTCCCATATTTGGCATTCTATTATAACCAGAAGTTGTTGTTTTACAAGGGTGGAGAGTTTGAGGACAAGGTGGAGAAGCTCAAGGACGGGCTCAGGGTAGTTCTGGAGGATTTTTATCAGCTGGGAGGCAAGCTTGGAAAAGACGAGGAAGGGGTTTTCAGGGTGGACTACGATGATGATATGGACGGTGTTGAAGTCTTGGAAGCCACCGCCGAGGGGATCAGCGTCGATGAACTAGCGGCTGACGAGGGCACAAGCTCTCTGAAGGACCTGATACCATACAATGGTGTCTTGAACTTGGATGGTCAAAACAGGCCTCTGTTGTCTGTTCAGGTAACACTTTTTTAACTTTTTGCTGTTAGTCCATTGCCAGACATCAGCCAAATGACATTAGAACTTGCCATATTTGCTTGTTTGCTTGTCTGTTTTCCACAAGCGCTGATCTCTGTCCAGATTCAATTGGATCATCCTTTATACCCTGCAGTTTTTTTTTGGCACTCTATCTTAGGAAATCATCCTGCACGCTCATTCCCATTATAAGCAACATGAATTCAGATTGGGATGATCAATTTTTTTTTATTAATAAGGAAGATTTTACAATGGCTATATATAATTTTAATTAGCTAGAATATACTAGTACTACTACTACATTTTTTTTCTAGTTAATTTAGATATTTGTAGAAGAAGATAAAAAGTAATGAATCAACAGAGTTTTTTTTGGCAAAAATATTGTAATGGATGTCATATTATATTTTCTTAACAAAATGTACTTGTTATGTCACTTAAAAGGAGGACAACTGGCCCACGCCCCTTCTGAATTTGATGGAATATATACCGAATGGAATAAAACCTTAATGAAGTTACAGCTGTGCATGCATTACCGCATACATTAATCTCATATGGTAGCAAATACTTCACACATGGTTATTTGATAATCAAAACATTTGTTTAAGAAACAATGTATAGGTTCACCCAGAATTTCAGATTGAACCTCATTTCTATGGCTGAAAAATCTACACAGACGGAAAGGATCATATTGCATTATGCATGAATAACCCTATGAGTAAGTGAAGTTTTGTTAGTGATTGAGGTGCCCATATGATATGCTCCAACAAGGAGCCAGTGCATGCCTTAAATTGACAAACCTGGCTGTCCTGAGTCATGAAGAACAGTATGACTCCTTAGCTGTAATTCTTATAGAGAGGGAAGAACTTCTGAGTGTTGCTCTGCTCCTATCCATTAGAAATTAGATCCTCATAAAAAGCACCAGACGGTGGGTCTAGACTTTGAATAGACTCTGCTGTTTGTCATGCCAACGAATGACCCCCTTGCAGTCATTCTTGATAAACACAAGCTTTATTACTATTATTATTATTATTATTTTAATGAAAGTTACCTGCTGGCTGCTGCTTTCTCTATAATCAAACAACATAAAGCCAAATAGCCCAATTTGAAGTATGAAAGAAAAATGTGCAAGATAAGGTAAGACATTATTGGACAGCTCTGAAGAATTTTTTTGGGTATGGGCCCCCAAGAGAAGTCGTCCATCTTTAATTTATAGGCCATAAATCTGCTTCACCTTTTTTTGTTGCTCTTTCATTAATTCGTGTACCATTGGCCTATATCAATCTGCAGTATTCAGATATTTTCCTTTTCTTCCAGCCCCTGTTTTTGGTCCGTTGGTTGCAAATCCATTTGTCATCATCACCGTCCATTTTTGGTGAACTTTTTTAACTATTTATTGGTGTTGATAATTTTGTACGACAGTTAACGAAGTTGAAAGACGGACTGGCAATGGGGTGCGCGTTCAACCATGCGATCCTTGATGGAACCTCCACGTGGCATTTCATGAGCTCGTGGGCTCAAATCTGTAGCGGGTCGAACTCTATCTCGGTTCAGCCATTTCTCGAGCGGACCAAAGCCCGAAACACCCGCGTGAAGCTGGACCTCTCGCTCCCACCCAACCCAGTCTCGTCAACCAACGGTGATGCCAATCAAGGCCCGCAACTCAGGGAGAAACTCTTCAGGTTCTCCGAAGCTGCCATCGACAGGATCAAGTCAAAAGTCAACTCTAATCCACCATCCGACGGCTCAAAACCATTCTCAACTTTTCAATCTCTGGCTGTCCATATTTGGCATCACGTAACCAAAGCACGTAACCTTAAACCTGAAGACTACACAGTTTTCACTGTCTTTGCAGATTGTCGTAAAAGGGTCGATCCCCCCATGCCCGAAAGTTACTTTGGCAACCTGATTCAAGCCATCTTCACCGTCACGGCGGCCGGGTTATTGCTGGCGAACCCGCCGGAATTCGGTGCATCAATCGTACAAAAGGCAATCGAAGCTCACAATTCCAAGGCTATCGATGAGCGTAACAAGGAGTGGGAGGCCGCACCCAAGATTTTCCAGTTCAAGGATGCTGGTGTCAACTGCGTGGCTGTTGGGAGTTCTCCAAGGTTTAAGGTGTACGACGTGGATTTCGGGTGGGGAAAGCCAGAAGGGGTGAGGAGTGGTTCCAACAACAGGTTCGATGGGATGGTGTATTTGTATCAAGGGAAGGCCGGAGGCAGGAGCATTGACGTGGAGATCACCTTGGAAGCTGGAGCTATGGAGAAGTTGGAGAAAGATAAGGAATTTCTCATGGAAGTCTAATAATAGTATTAATACTTTGCGTGATATCATACTTGGGGTAGCATCATTATAGTCCTATGAAATGTCCTTGGTCATTTTAATTTTAACACGGATTGATATAGAGCGGGTGATGGCTATTTTCACATTTGTTTTGAATACAGTTGCTTATTCATTGGTTAAAATGAATTAATCGATATAAATGTGAAAATGGTAGCCCCTTGAAAAGTCCGTGTTTAAAATTATACAATGAAGGCGGCATTATGCTATTGCTACCCAACTTTAGGTTGGGTACTATTATTATGTTTTCCTTTTGGGTTTTTTTTTTGTTGCCACGTAGGGAGGATGTTGAAGGCGAAGCTGGGACAGTTGCTGGACTTGTTAGCATTTGTTGTTTCTTTTTTTGGTGGCTTACGCTTGACTCTGTTAGTTAGGTACGAGTTTGCTTTTGGTTTCGTGTTGATATTTATATATATATATGCTCTTTGTGGCTTTATGGAAGTAATTGTATGAAATGCGAAGGTAGTTGGGATTCTTGTTCGGCGATATTGTTGAACTCATTAAACACTTTGAAATTAGGACAATATTTGAACATAAGTCGAAAAGGTGGTGTCCTATGTGTCGGATGGACCTCTTCATTCTTTAAGCAATTTCTGAAGTACTGATCCCTTTTATAAAATTTTTCAGCTCAATTTCCCTTGAGTTGTACCAGAAAGAATTTAAGACATTATTACTCAAACACCAATCTGCACCACGTGGGGTGTTGTTTTGGTAGTTGTCATTCTCATTGATCTTGTCCACCTTACCTACCTGTTACCAGATCGGCACTAGGATGGAGGGAGGGGCTACCAAAGAGGGAGTAAAATTCACCGTCGGTCGCTAAACTATACTGCATTCCGAAATAAGTTTATCAAAGTTTAATTTCTACCAAACAAATCATGACCAAATTAATAATTAGTTGCAGTAATCACTTTATTAAGGAGCCATAAAATTCAAGAAGAGAACGCCAATGTGGCTGCCACATCAACATCCATATTAACTGGAAATTTGTCATGCGAGCGGTTGGAGCACAACTGTGACATTGATTGTGGAGGCTGCTTGTAAAAGACTGGTTGAGAAGCAACAAAAACGCAAAGGCAAATAATTGACCTTATGAAGCTGGCCCGGCCATTTGAAACCACTGCTTCTGGGTGGGGTGGAAAAGAGACAAGACACACAAACTGTCCCCCCCGCTTGTTTGACCAAAGAGGTAGTTCATTAATTAAAAAAAAAATCTGACCCTTCAACTAATTTTGGCGATAATTTTCCTACGAACCAAAGGGAATTATCCCAACGATAACAACAGCCTGAATTAAAACCTTTTCCTCTGATGTAATGTGTGATTACTAGGAAGTCATTGTCTTGATTACTAAACAATCATCCCTCAATTATTACAGATGACACACACTAGAACAAAAATTATAACACCTAAAATACACAACTACTTCTTGATCATTATATCAAGTAAATATTAAGACACCTAAAGCCACAACACGCAAGTACTTGATCATTAAATTGAAATAAAAATTAATTACCAAAGGATGAATAAAAGAATTTTCTTCCTTCGATCTATGAATACAATTTTTTTCTCTTTTAATATTGTTAATATGCGTCCAAACAGAGTATACAGTGAATAATACATTTCGTTTTATCATATGATGTTATGATGCCGTAACCGAAGAAACACCACTGATTGAATTATACAATTATTATCTGAAACTTTCTCAGGAAAAATGAAAAACAGAGAAATTAGATGCTTTGTTTGTATTTTCATTTTCCTTCTCAATTATAGCCCTGGACCTATTTTCAAAACCATTGCAACTCAAGCCATTTTAATGGGAATAGCGTAATACACAATATGGTGCTTAAAGCAAGTCCACAGTCAAAAATGTTTGCGGGAAGAGTAGGTTCTTTCCTGTCTCTCCTCAGTTGCCAAAAATCAGAGCTTTGTTCCTCCAACAGTAAACCTAACTCAAAACATTTTTGTGGCTTCTCTGCCATTAACAGGTACATCTCTTTGTTTCTCTGTCCTTAGGCTTCCTTCTGCAAGCCCTTGAATTAAACTCAACCGAGGCAATTGCGAAACAGAGCGATGGGGCCTCCTTTGCCTTTTGGTTGATGTTATAATCAGCTTAGACTGTAGGGATTTAGCATTTTGTTGTTACGATTATTGGCTTCAATTGAAGTTATCTACGAGTTTTTTTTGAAGCACCAGAAATGCCACCTGATATTTTTCTTCAACTCAATTTACCAGTCGTCAGGTTTTTTCCAATGTAGCACAGTTTACAGTAGTATTGCTCCAAAGCCTTTCACTAAATGAGAGAACTAATTTTCAGCATGCGGCTTTTAGCTGACATGTAGACAACCATCTCCAGAAATGAACAAACGAACCAAAGAAGATTCACGTTCATTATCCCAAAAGTCAGAATTCCTCCTCTGCAATGGTACTTGATACGCAATTATGTTGTAAAATTACTCTTGGTGACTACAGAGATTTGCAGGAACTATTCTACATTATTTAACCAAAATTAAGATGGAAAAAGATGACAAACTTTGGCATTTCTTTCTCCACATTTTTCAGGAGGTTTCATCCCTTGCTCTGAGGCTTCTGTAAAACTAATAGATTAGACAACTCCTTCATTCTCCATTTCATGGGATTTCACGTCTCGCTTTCAGGTTTCTGAGATGGAGGCATTGCAGAGGCAGTTTCTTTGGCAGTAGCTGTCACCAATTTACACCAATTACATCAAAATATGAGAAAGAGAGAGAGAAGAAGAAGAAGAAGAACTAACCTTCTTGTTGATTTTGGGATTCCAACCGGCTTTCAGCAGGAGAGGCAGTCTGGTCCTGCTGTTGAGAAGCAGAAGCTTTTAGCTGCTCCTCTGTGACCTTTAGGTACTCCTCACTAGTATAAGCCTTGTTCACGGATGGAGTACCATCTGCAGTTAGGTGACGAATTCCATGGTTCATTGAGTTTCTTCGAAAGATAAAAAGGGAATGGGAAAAGGAATAAGAAAGACCCTCTACTAAGGTATAAACAGCAGAATTGACCACTACCATCTAGCATTTAGTGCATGTTTCAGGGAAACAGATCAAGTAATAAGATAAATGACGTTTGAAGGAAAAATCTCATTAAGGATCAGAAAACCTAAGGCAATTCATGCCACTAATAGCTTTAAATAAAAGAATACAAATCACTCACTGGGGTCAGCCTTGGTGCCAGATTCCTCAGTGTTGGTAACTGGTGAAGGGGTTGGGATAGAATTACTTATATAGGGGCTGTTTCTTTTCAGTGTATTTTGTGTTGAACTTGGCTTTTCATCAAGACCAATCTCCCGCTCAAGGGTGCTCTTGAATTCCCTTGAAACTTCCTTCATGGAAGAGAAAAACAAAGGTTAACAATTCAGAAGGGCAAAGCTACCAAGTAAAGATACAAGTAAAACCAAAGTTTCATTCCCTACCTGAAGTTCTCTAATGGTGGGTTGAAATTCACGCAATGTTTTTCCCAGATTCCGAGCAACCTGCACTTTACTAGGCCGTTGAGATACCAATAGGATTTCAACTTGAACAGAATGTTATCCTAACTATGTAAGGTTCTGTTTGGTTGTCTTATTCACTGCTAAGTTGTTGCTTCCTCAAAAGTTGCTAAAATGTACAAGTGAATATTAAAGGGCTAAAGGCAAACTCATATTCAACTAAAAAAGAGAATGTAGCTCAAATGTAACACAAACATAATTATTTCAGCTTAAAGGAAAATCATGTATTTTGTACATGAATATCAAAATTTCAATTTTCAATTATTCAAATTGAGTAGTAAAAGTAACAAGTAAATGCAGCTGACACAAATAGTAACCAAATGCTAAACTCCCAGAAAACTCATTTAACTTCCATTAAGGTAGCAAAGTGACTGCCATGCAGTTGTAAATTAATTTTTGATACGTAACACAGTGCAACTTCCCATTAAAGGATAAGAGCATGCCAGACACTAATTGTCTTCTTTTAATGTGGCAGTTTAGATTTTGTGGATACAGCTATGTTCATCCATTATGGTGCAGCATACCTGAAAATAGATTACGTACCCTTTTTTAACAGTACCAATGGAAATGTTCACCCTTAGATTTGAGCAACAAATCGTCTAATTAATAAAATGTGATATACAGCAATATCAATATGTTTTCTAACCCTCCACAAGTTAGATGCTTCTAGACATCGAGCCATTTAGAAAAATGACAAGATGGATCTCTGGTAAAAACATAACACTTGATCCTAAAGATCTGAATTAATAAAGACCACAAACCATGCTCATTAGAAAGCATAAGTCAGCCAGAGCTCTGAAGGGATAAGTGAATGTAGAGTTTAGAATAGGTTAACACAATGATCTTTTTCTGGCCGGATAATGGGAAAGTCATGGGAGTCATAAAGTCAACAAAGATCATCAACTGGAATGCATTGGGTTTTAGTGTCAGATGACAATAAAAGGTTTTGACATCAAGGCCAATTAGGCATTATCTAGTCAAAAGACAACACATTAAGTTTGATAACAGCAGCTAGCAGTGTAGTCTGGTCTGTTGATAGAACAAAATAAGACTTTCATCCATGATTTTTTATCATCTAGGATGTTAAGTAGCTATCAATTTCTTTGATTGTCTAGTGGATTCTCATCTAAGAAAGAGCAAAACTGCTACCGAGACAAGAAACCATGCACGTAAAGCTAACTTCATTTCTTTACAAAATCCCACACTAGACCAGCTTCAATTTTAAAGAAATTTGTCTTATCTCCCAATCACTTAGAAAAATTCTCAACACCATTATTTTCCCTGATTTGTTTCAGACCGCATACCATCCATTGCTGGTTGTTGCTTAATTCATTGGGGATTATGTTGGTGTATTTTCAAAACCAAAAGTTATGTCACACAATGAAAAGCTATCTTCGCTCAATAGTTATGTCATATAAAGTGATATATTATGACTATTGGATTGTAGGTAAGTTTTTTCATGTAAATGGTTATGTCTTTTGGTAAAATGACATCCAAAGGTTATAAGACAAATGAAAAAACACCACAGCTCAAAAATTTAAAAATAAAAAATTATCATTTCCAATTATGGCTCAAAAGTTATGTTTTATAGAATGAATGATTGTCATTATAGAAGGTAATTATTGAAACAATATCTTTATTCTCAGATGCATCTAGCGATCTACTCTCGTACGATGTAAGACGAAGGTAGACGTTGGCTTCATTGTATCCCTAAGGTTATTCACATTATTCTCCTTTACATACTGAGTGATGGGGTAAAATAAACCTTAAAGATAACATCTATTAATAGGCTCATCTCGAAATTAATTTTACCTATTCCTTGAAGTTCATCTAAACTCCATTTGCAGTAAAAATTTTAAGATTTATTTTTTGTGGTGTGGAATTCAAAATGACTTTGCTTTAAAAGATGACCACCAACATTATCAAGTTAGATTGCTTTGAAGGAGGAAACTTTATTCGGTGATAGAAAAAAATGCAATTCCTCTTGACAACTCTCCGTGTCACTTATATTCTAGATATACCGAGACCAGTTGAAGAAAGTGATGAAGAATCCATGAATCAAACTCATTTGAAGCAAAAATGGGATAATGATAACTACATATGCATGGGACACATTTTTAATGAAATGTTGGATGCATTGTTCAATGCATACCGGAATGAAGCTAGTGCCAACAACTTTGGGACAAATTGAAGGCTAGATACATGATCGAAGATGCAAGGAGCAAGAAATTTCTAATTAGTCGTTTCAATAACTACAAAATAGTTGATAATCATTCTGTTATGGAGCAATTACATGAGCTTAAACATATTCTAAATAGCTTTAAGCAATATGGTCTTAAAATGGATGAAGCTATTATGGTATTTTCTATAATCGATAGGCTTCCCCCTTCATGGAGAGATACTAAAAAAAACTCTAAAATATATTTAAAAAAATTAAAATGAAATTGAATTGCATTGTGAATTGTTTATCAAATGTTTACGAAGTAGTAGAGGAGGTGAATATTATGATCCGAAGCATTCTGAGTCTACTGATATTATTCATGAGATTACCGCTTGATATGCACCAGAACAAAATGGTGTAGCTGAACATATGAATCGAGTTCTTACAAAAATAGTCAATGCTTTGCTTTCTAATTTAGGTTTGGGAAAAGGATTTTGGGACGAAACCTTATTAATGACTTATTATATACAAAATAGAATAACAAACAAAACAAGTAAAACTACTCCTTATGAGTTATGAAAATGAAGAAAGCTATAACCTTAATTATTTAAAATTTCAGAGATGTCAAGTTATAGTAAAAGTTTTGGAACCAAAGAAAAAGAAATTGAGTGAAAAAGGAATTGAATGTATATTTATAGTATATGCTGATCATAGTAAATCATAACGTTTCATGGTGATAGAGCCCAATGATTCATATTCCATTAATACAGTCATAGAATCAAGAAACGTTATTTTTGATGAAACAAAGTTCAATTTAATTCCAAGACCCAAATAACTAGTAACAGAAAATGATAAACTTTTAGAAAATGGTGAGGAAACTATTGAACTTCAAAGAAGTAAATGAATTATAAAAGCAAAGACATGTGGATCTGATTTCCTCATGTACTTAGTAGAAGGTACCAAGAAAGAAACATGTGATTACTTGCACTACTGCTTTAACGTAGAAACTGAATGTGATTCTCAAACTTAGGAGGAGGCAATGAAGTCTCGAGATGCTTCATTTTGACGAGAAGTAATACAAGATGTGATGGACTTGATAATGGGAAACAAAACTTGGAAGTTAATAGACCTCCCACCAAGTTCCAAGCTAATAAGCTATAAATGAATTTTTAAAAAGAAAATGAAAGTTAATGAAATTATAGATAAGTTTAAAGCAAGGCTAGTAACAAAGGGTTTTAAACAAAAGGAAGGTGCTGATTATTTTGATACATATGCACTAGTAGCAAGAATAACTACAATTAGATTACTTATAGCACTTGCATCTATACATAATATGATAATTCATTAAATGGATGTTAAAATGACATTTTTAAATGGTGAATTAGATGAAGAAGTATATATGAAACAACTTGAAGGGCTAATCTTTCCTGGTCAAGAAAGAAAAGTGTGTAAGCTTGTAAAATCCTTGTATGGATTAAAAAAGTCACCTAAACAATGGCATCACAAGTTTGTTGAGGTAGTGGTAGTTAATGGCAACAAGATTAATCAATCTTACAAATATGTAAATAGTGAGTTTCGTATGGTAAAGGTGTTATCATTTGTCTATATGTGGATGACATACTAATTTTTTATACTGATTTGGAACAAGTGGAGGACACAAAAAGGTTATTGTCAAAGAATTTTGACATAAAAGATATGTGTGATATGAATATTATTTTAGTTATAAGAATAATCATAGACAATAATGGCCTAACATTGTCTTAATTTTATTACATTGAAAAAAATTGTAATAAAATAAAATAAGTTAGATTGTATGCCAATATCTACGCCTTGTGATTCTAATCTAAAGCTAGTACCTAATAAAGACACCCCAATAGCACAAAATAAATATGTAAAGGTGATTGGCTGCCTAATATATCTTATGGTGTGTACAAGGCCGAACTTTCTTTTACGGTTGGGATGCTAAGCTGATTTACAAATAATCCAAGTAAAGAACATTGGTATGCTATTCATAGAGCTCCTAGGTACTTCAAAAGTATAATGAATTATGACATTTATTATTCAGGTTTTTCTTTGATTTTAGAAAGTATACATATGCTAGTTGGATTTCAAATAAAACTGATCATACTTCTATAACTGACTGGGTTTTTACAATTGGTGGGGGTGTTGTTTCTAAGGGTTTTAAAAAACAATCTTGTCAATCATACTCCACCATAACAGCTAAATTTATAGCTTTAGCATCTAACACTCAAAAAGCGAAATTGTTGAGAAATTTACTTTAGGAAATTCCATTCTGACTTAAACCATTGGCACCCATCTTGATACATTGTAACATTGAAGCAACAACATCAAAGGCATATAATCAAGCATACAATGAAAGTATTGTAAGTTAAAGAATTAGTGATGGTATAGTCATTATAAGTTATATGAGGTTTTGTGAAAATTTTACGGATCCGTTTATCAAAAGTCTGAAAAAAGACTTGATAATAAAAACAAAAGAGATAAGTCTCAAGCCTATCAACTAAATCTTCAATGGTGGGAACTCACCTCAACGCTTGTGGCCGAGTGGCAAATCTTGGGTAATAACCATTTGGCTACATGATTGATTACAAGTACTAATTTATAATTTTCACCCCAAGATGTATAGTGCTTAATTCTCGTAATACGTAAAGTTAAACAAAAGTTTTTAATTGTCTCATAACATGTATATGTTGAAATATTATAATTACAAGGTACTTCCGATGGGGGTTATCTATGTAAGTAGAATTATGACTACTTCTTAGAGCTAAAAGCTTGACTTTAACAGTACTAATGAATAGATACAAAACACAAGGTCATAAAACATGTTAGCAAAATTAGATACAAAGTGAACAAAGAAGTTTGTGTGTATTTGGTGACCTGACTAGTGAAATGAAAAATGATGGCTCAATGCTTAATCAACCACACAATTCAAACTAGAACTAACCACACTCATTAAGTGATGGTTCAAATCTACAAGATACCTTTATTTATGCACAAGATTTCCAAAGTTGTTAGTATTTGAAAATTTGTGAAAATAGTAGGTGATTTTTGGTGTATTTTCAAAATTAAAAGTTATGTAACATAATAAAACGCTATTTTAGTTCAAAAGTTATATCATATAAAATGACATAATGTGACTATTGGATTGTAGGTATGTTTTTTCATGTGAATGGTTATGTCTATTGATAAAATAACATCCAAAAGTTATGAAACAAATTAAAAAAACTTCACAGCTCAAAAGTTTAAATATGAAAAATTATCATTTCAAATTATGATTCAAAAATTATGTTTTATGAAATAAATGATTGTCATGAGATGATTATTGAAATAATAATTTTATCCAAAAGTTGTATCTTGTAAAATGTAAATATATCTTTTAGATAAAATAGTACCTTAATAAAAAAATTGTATCTTTGAAAAAGCTTATAAGCCTATATAAAGAGCTTTTGAGATTAAAATTTGAAAATTGTTAGCAAGAGGCCAACGTCTCCAAAGATTATAACTACCTAAATCCAACATCCCCATGAAAATACATGAAATTTCAAGAAATGCACATATAAAGGAAACAAACAGTCTCGAAAATCATCAATTTTTTTTTTGAAAGGCAAAAATCATCAAATGTTACAAGCCACAAAAGGAGCAACTAATGCGTTCTTCTTCATAATTGGAGAAAAAAAAAACAACATTTAAATATTAATGAACTAACCTATGTATAAAAGGAAGAACATACCTCAGCCAGACCCTTGGGACCAAACACCAACAAAGCAACTACCCCAATAACCAGAGCCTCAGGAGCTCCAACCCCGAACAGAGATGCATGAACCACCCTACCTTTGCATCTTCCCCTTTTCTCTGCACCGCCATCATTTCCAACAGAAACAAAAAAGTAAATAAATTGAAGAATCAAAATAAATGGCCTTTAAAGGAAAAAAATACAGCTTAAAAACAAGAAAACCAGATTTGAAGAAAAAAAAAGTACCTAGTTTAAGAGATTGGGGCGAGATTGAAATGCCCAGATGCTTGAGACCACTCCACGGAGAAAAATAAGCTGACCCCAACTGTGGAAACAACGTGGAGAACCGGATACTGGAGGCTCTGGGATATGAAATCAAAGGAGACAAAGAGCAGCTCACTGATTTTGAGCTAACTGAAGATGTGCACAAGAACGTGGAGGTTGAGATTGGCGAGGCGATGACCATGATTGTGGTCATTTGAAGTGACAATTTTATTCTGAGTTTTAGGGGAGCTCAGATTTTCGACGTATAGACATGGAGCGGACCACAGATTATCTCGAATTGGAAGATGTCCATAAATGCAATATGTGGAAAATTATTATCGAGAAGATTACAGTGAAGTTTGCTTTCAGACACAGCGCCGAAGGCCTGCCATGCAGTCCAGTTTTCATATGTTGGGCTCAGACATGACTACTTTGTGGTCTTAACCCAAGCAGTCACAGGCTCGCATTTCATGTTTGGGGTTGCCCAAATAATTGGGCTTTTCCACGCTGTTTGATGAGCATGAGTTACATGAGTGGCACGAGGTGATGCTTGCTTGCGTCTTCCCCTCAAAGTAACGATTGGGGTACAGTTAGATGTTAATCTCTTTTTTGACTTTGATAATACTTCCGTTTCAGTTACATGGACTAAAGTGCTTGGCCTCTTCCATCAATGGAATATTGTGTCTCCCTAATTCCTTTTCTTTTTTTTTTTTATAAGAAATGCTAATGCTAATGCCTTTTTTCATATAGCTAAAATTTGAAATTATCTCAACACTTTATTTCTTTTAAGACTTTGGTCATAGAAATTAAAGTGACTCAATTCTGTTCATTGTCACAAACATTGATTATTCTTTAATTTTCAAACTTGAAATTTCAAAATTAAAAATTAAAAAATTTTAATTAATCCGTCCAATCACAATATATAATTCGGTTTGAGTTAAATTCATAATTTAATGAAGTTGAGTTTTATAGAATTGAAAGATGTGAGGTACTGTGTAATAACGTCCAAATAAAATGCATGGTAAACGTTTTTATGAACTGTGTTACTAATAACCAAACAAAAGAGAGAGAGAGAGAGAGAAAAAAAAGACCCACAAATCATTCCATTCCATCTTCATAAGAAAGGCAGTTATGATGAGGGGATGAAGCATATGGTGTGCGGTTGGTAACAAAGCATCTGTAATGCATGTATGTGTGAGATCCCCCTCGCATTTATTTTTGATAGAAGATGTCAACAAGAAAAAGAATGGCGTTGAGAGAAATATGCCTGGTGGAATTTTTGCAATACGGGAAGGGATGGGATTTTGTTTATGACTTTAAATTTTGGGATCAAACCCCCACCTACTTTGATAGCTTGGACATGTGGTGTGCCGGTTTAGCTTTTGCCCTGTAGGTCCATAACCACACTCAGCCACCCCATTTGCGGGTCACTTCCTAAAATATCCCTTCCTTGCACCTCCCATTGGACCCATCCCTTATATGAAGAAAGTTTTTGTAATTATTCGAATTTATTCAATACTTTTTTTAATTCAAATTACCGTAATCTTCATAGATTTAAAATTTAAATCATTAATAATTTTATATGAATTTTAACAATCAAATGTGAAACATATTGTCTTATTTGTTTTTCTTTTTAATGACTTACAAAAAGTATGTTTTTTTTTCAAAAAAAAAAACCTTACCACCGAATTTATAAACTAATTAATACCTTTAATTTTCTTTCACCTTTATGTAGTAAATCATCTTTGATTACTTTTGCAACACTGCTTTGCCTTTTTTTCATCTGCCACACGAGTGGGAACTAGAAAGTGAACCATCATAATATGGAACTTTATAGCCCATTATCTAAAAAAAAGACACAGGAGAGCGAATAAAGGCAAACATGATTTTTTTTTTTTTTAAAAAAAAAGCAACCTCTCCAAAGTTTATAAAGATTAGAAGTTGATATATGAATCATTGCATTACAGCGAACTTTTCCCATCACTATCACCTTCCAGTTACAGAGGTAAAGGCTAATGAAATCAAGGTAAAAGTCAATAAAAAGAAAAGGGATATAATCAAACAAGTCTTTCTTCTGTTTTTTTCAATCAATTTGATATCATGAAAGATTTCATTCGATAAGGTAATAAAGAAGAAAAAAAAAAAGGACGTGAAGGGAAAAGGTCGAATGGAAAGATTGGAGAAAAAGGGAAGGGAAAGAGCCAAAAGCTAACGGGGGTTGTGATATCATTATCAAAGAGGGAAAAGATAACGGGGTAAGAGAGAGAAAAAAGAGAAACCGAACCACTCGTGCAAGTCTAGTTAAAAAAAAAAAAGAAGTGTGTTGAGGGGAGAGCCGAGAAAGGGCGGAGTGTCGCTGTCCTACGTTATGCACGAAAGCCGATTATCCGAACAAGTGGATGAGCACACGTGCACAGCTTTGACAAAAGAGTTCCCTCGTTCCAATGTAACAACAAAGAATGATAACAAATAAATAAATAAAAAAAGTAACGGGATTGCTCGCTTTGTTGCGTTTGAATAAATAAAAAATACACCTAAAAAACTTTGCAAATTTAGCGGGTGCCAACTGCTATTGTCTTGTCCCCGTTTAGGATTTTCTCTTCTTTTTCTTTTTCTTTTTCTTTTTCCTCTATTCTTCATGTAAGTTGTACTACCTATGCATAGACTCTTGAAAGCAGTACGTGAAGGGAAAGCATAGAATAAAAGAATATGAAAGACAATTATTTATCCTACTCAACTCAAAAACCAAAATTTTTTTGCACATAAAAAATAAATTATCCATAATAAAATTTTATGTCTCTTTATCACCCAAGTTAAATTTAAGCAAGTCATAAGAAAATTCTCATACCCTTTTCTCTCTCTCACACACACACATAATAATGGGGTGAAAAATAGTTCTTATACTCGTATACATAGTTAAATTTCAGTGATTTAGATTATTTGGCATTAAGGCTTTTTTTTTAAGTTTTATGAGCAAATTAAAAAGAAATATTATATAAGTTGAAATAGATGAATTTATTTTTTTAAATCTGAAATTTGATACTTAACTGTCTTTGATTTATTCTAATTACTTTGTATTTAAGATCATTATTTTATTTTTAAAAAAATTAGTTTTAATTTTTATTGTTAGTATTAATTTAATGAAAAATAGGTATTTTAGTTATTTTTTATATGACAGTATAAAAGATTTTAAATAAAAAATACATGACATTTAATCAAATTTTAAATTTTAAAAAATAAATTTATTTTGTTAAAATATTTTTTTATCATTGACCTTTTTTTTTTTATTAGTTGGCCCACAAATGCCAGGTGAAGGTAGCCAAAGAATGAAAGAATGGCAGTCACGAGAGTCTTGCATGGGACGTTGGCGACAGGTGACAAATGCGCGCACATAGTAACATAACAATGAAAATCACGAGTTTCTCACACCTTTCTCTCTCCTTTTTCCTTGTTTTCGCCATAACTGCGTAGCAATGGCAACCTGAACAATTTTCAATAAAGCGGAAGGGCAATCCCGTCAACTCCCTCACTACAAAATGCGAAGCGTTATCTTCTTCGGTGGAAACTCCCAGTGGGACTTTAATTATTGCCAAGCTTTTGTTGCTTGTTGTTTGACCTTAAAACAGAAAGATTTATAATTACAAAACCACATTTTATTTATTACAAAAATAAATTAAATATAGAGTAATAATAATTAGAAAGAGAAATATAAGAGACTGAGGATACACAGCTGTTTCTTGTCCACTCTGTCATATTTATTTTAGTAAGATTTAGCCACGTCATATTATGAATCTATACTAAGATTAGCCAATCAATTACTTTCTATACATCGTGAAAATGCCATTTCACGTAAAAACATAAGCTAATGTCTTATAACAGCGAAATACTATTATGTAAAAGTGATAAAAAGAAGCACCATTCCATCTACAATAAAACTCAAATGAAGTCTTCCCCACAATCAAATTTACCAAAGCTTTATTTTATGTACTTAAAAAAAAAAAAGTACTACTATTATACTCTTTGTGCCCTATTCAACTGATAGTACTATATTATAGTTGACTTCATGTGTCTCATATCAGCTGTTTGAATTATTTTTCCTGAAAAAAACTAAAGATGAGAAATTAGAAGATGTATTATACTCAATTATTTTGTAAACTTAATTTCCTTTCTCATAATTTTGTATATTTAATTATTATTTTTTATATTTGAATATTAATTGAATAATAAACTATATACATTTTTACTTAAAGATTAAATTTGAAATCTATTTTATCTTGAAATTATTGAATATACTTTAAAAATAAAGCATTATTACTTTTGAGCACTATCTCTAAATGAATGGTATGTGTATTTTCAAAAACGAAAAAGAAAAGGGAATTATTTACAATTAATTTTTTAATTGCTGGGAGTATCATATAAGAGCTTCCCACAAGAGTCCATAAATTACACATGAAAGCAAAATAGACTTTTTTTTTCTTCAAAAAAAGAAGCAAAATACAAGTAGCAACAAATGAAAAAAAATTAAAGCCAGTGGTCCCATTCATCGTTTAGATGACGTGGCAAAACTCGGTGCAAAATGGATGAAAACTGGAGGATAACGACTGGAGGGGAACTGAACCGGAAGAGAAGGAAAAAAAGGAAAACACAAGCAAAGAAAAAAAAAAGCGATACAGAGCAGATGGCTGATCTATATGAATTGATTTAAAAATAAAAATTAACATCTTCAACTTGTCATTTTTTTAATTTTTATTTCACTCCCGTTGTCTTCAAATCGTTTGAGATTTGTTGAATCTTGAGAGTCAAAAGAGATCAAAGTTACATGAAGCTGATGTTATTAACGCAACGTTTTAAGCTTAGAAATCGAAGATGAGAAGCGTAAACGACAGCGTCGAGACCGTCAACGCCGCTGCTACAGCCATCGTCTCCGCCGACTCCAGAGTCCAACCTACCGCGGTTCAGGTACATGTTTATGTATGTATATGCGAATCTTAACATCCACTTTTATTCTTATTTAAAAATAAAAATTCTTTCCAATTGGTTACCGAGAAAATTATCGGGAAATTCGGGACTTTGAGATTACTCAAGCTCTCTTTTGAATCTTAAGGGAGAGAAAAATAGAAGAAAGCAAAAGTGTTGTTTCCGAAATTTTGTTGGTGCTGTTCTTTGCTTGGTTTTTTTATGTTGAAAGTCTGAAATTTTATTTCGTGATTTGTCTCAAGTATTGAACTTTCTTGCTTTTTCTTTGTTCTCTGTTTGGTTGCCGAGGAACCGAGGTAAAGTAAAAGAAGTTGAAATTCGGATCTTGAGTTTTAATCTGTTTAGTCTTGGCAGGCAAGTCAATTAGCTGAGCTAGGCTCAGTTAAGGTTCTGCTTTTACTTTTTGGTTTTGCATCAAGAATAGCCAAAAAAAAAAAAAAAAACCTCTTAACAGTGGAATTCGAATTATCAAACAAAAAAGGAAAGTAGAAAAGAAAAAGAAATTCAAAGAAAAAAAACATCGTTTTATATACGTACTTCTAAAGTGCAGATTTGAGTTTAGAAAGTTTAACTATTCCTTTTTTTAAAAAAAAATTAAAATAGTAAAATTTCCGGTATTTTGCCTCTTTGTCAGTTTTCTGCAATTCCTTCCTGCTTTGGGTGGGGGCGGCTCTTCTATTCATTTTAGTGTCTTTTGTCGAAGAATTTGCTGATATCAGGCTAGAGTGTATTACAGCAATTTTTTTAAAAAGAGATATTACGTTGTGGTGGAAAAATAAGGAGATTTCATAAACACAATATAAAAGAAATGGTGCTTAATTGGTCATTTGATGTGAATGGTTTACAGGTTTTTGTTGGTATATTTGCCATTTGATTGAGATGCCTATAGAAACTTTTTCAGGGAAGAACGAAGTTTGATTAGCCAAAATAGTTGATCCATCTTGTATTTTTGGATAAAAAGTAATTTTCAAAACGTCTGTAATTTGCATTCTAATGTGTAGTCTTCCATAGAATTCTTAAAGAGTAATCAAAACTAGTTATTCCTTAAAGTCACAAGTATGTATGGATGTATGTATGCATTGCTATTGTATGTCAAAAAGGCATTCATGATCAATGTTGTGCTAGTGCTATTCTTATGATGTTGAGACTTGTTTCTGGTGCTTGCATGTGAAGTTTGCTAGTGTGCTTGAACTTTTTTTCATGTATGACAAAACGTACACGAGAAATTAGCCAGGAAACATGGAAAACCAGAGTTTAATAAACATACAGCAACTACCAGGCAGAGAAAAATTTATCAACTTTAGATGTGGGAATTAGTCATCCTGATGTACTCATCATCATGTTTGGGCAGGGGGAGATGCTATTTTAGAGTCTGATAGATGCATTAGATGTGAAGTGCACTCTTGCTTGACTATATTTTTATCTTCAGACTTGAAAAATTTTGTGTTGATAAAGCATGATGCACACGGTGTTCTCCAAAAAGTCAGCACTCAGCAGCATGAGGGCAGATGTTTAATTTCGGATGGCTTAAATTTTCAAATTGAATTTTTCATGATTGCTATAATACATTGGCTGAGGGAGGTGTAGAGACAGAAGATTGTGTTCATCTTGCTCTTCATTAATCCTTCGCTTCCATATTGTTCTGGGGGCTGAGAGTTGAAATGAATGCTCACTGCCTTATGTAGAATACTTGAGGATGATAAACTTATTTTCCGTACAAAATACTGATTC